CTAAAACCATCTCAGATAGGGTAAATGTAAAGAGAGCAGCCTATAATTGACCTCATGCTGACATCTGACCTCCGGCCAGCCTGGTGCACCTGGGGAAAGCAATTCGAGGATGGAGAGGGGGGCCTGGGCCATCAGGTAGGTTCAGATATACATCTGAGTGTGACCTCTGGAGCAGCAGAGCTAAGGTGTGGATCAGAGCCACAGGAGCCCGCAGGGTACCCACACTCCTCGCACCAGAGACAACCAAGGTCCAGAGAGCAAATGCTGAGGGAAGCATGAAAAATGCTGGATGAGTTTTGGTGTGAAGGAAAGACAAGAGGTTGAGGTGCAACCACGGGTCACCGCCAGGAGTGAAGACTGGAGGGCAGAGACAGACAGAGGGCGTGCTGGAGAGACCTGCAGCAACCCAGGTGCAGCTCTCTCCCTGTCTTGTGTGGCTGCAGGGGGAGGAATGAGCCCACTCATTCCTCCAAGTGAGAAAACATGATCTTCACTTCAGTTGAGAACCATCCCTGCTTCCATGTTCACCCACTTCTGCTTATCAAGCCTGGTGGGTAAGCAAAAGGAAGAAGAGGTGATGCTGGGAACTTATTTCTGGGCCATTCTTTTATTTCCTTGAAAGCTTGCCATTTTCAGTGTGATTGCCTTGGAGAGCAACCAGGACTAGGAGCAGGGTGGATCAAGTGGGGCTTGTAGTGCCTCCCTCCTCCCTGCAGTGCTCACCTCACCCCCAATACCCTGATTCAGTGGGCAAAGCTGCTGAACTAGGGTGTTTGAAGGCAGGTTAAGTTTCACCCTCCCTGCTTCTGTGGCTGGTTGGCAAGGCAGCATGAGGCTGAAGTGTCAGGGACTTTATGGCCCTAGGGAACATGTAGGGAGGGACAGGGAGCCATGTCCCAAAATGACAGCCTAGGGAAAGGGAGCTGGGCTCATGGGATTTCCCTCCTAGAGTGTGCAGGGTGGAGATCTGACCCCCAAAACTCTGGCAGTGTGATTGCTGCTGAGGGGAAAAACGTGCCAGCTGACAAAGGCAGGGGATCACCTGAGACCATGAACGCACACGTTTCCATAGTTGGCATCTCCATAATTGGATTTTATGGTTACTTTATTCCTTTTGAAGGGGAGCTGAGGTCCCCTGTGGAGAGGATAGGGATTGGGGCAGAGCTCCTTCTGCCATAACCACCAATGGACCCTGACCTTAGGCATGTCCCCTGTCACTCCCTGGGGAGGGATGGAGTGCAGGAGGGCAGACCCCTTGCTGCCCTGCCCTCTTTCACTTTAAGTCAGTGGCAAACCCTTACTCATGGCCAATATCTGCAGAATCCCCAGCAAGAAAACAAGATCCTGACCACCAAACACCCATGAGTCCCAGCACACATCCTCGCAGCCCTTCTCTCAGCCTTCCCCTCCTCATCACCTGCCCCTCACCATGCCAGCTGTGGGACACGGCTTTCTGCAGCACTCGCCATAAAGCACTTTGTATTGGTCTATTGAAAATGAGAGTCCTTAAAAGTAATAAAACTGTTTTATTCTTCTTTCTTCTTTCCTCTTCTTTTTTTTTTCTTCCTTTCTCCCCCCCTATTACCCATCAACCTGAAAATGAGGGGGCAAATAACTGCAGGAGAGCACATTGTTTTCTTCCCCCTACAAACCCAGAGCTGTAAAATACTTCTTAATCATTGGGAGCAAGAGGATCTCTGTGCCGGGCCTCCACTTTTTGTTTGCGAGTTTATTTTTCCTAATTCATTCTTGACAAAGACAGAGCCATAAAAGAATTGACCAGCACGTCTGTGGGAAAAAACTGCCCTGAAAAGGGCTGGAGGAATACTGTAGCATTTCCAAACAATTCCAAGGGCTAAAGCCTCTGTGAGATGCAGCTTCAGCTATAACTTGCCTTTCTAGGAACAAGCCTACATCTGTTTGGCAATGCCATATTTTGTAGGGTAAAATAAACCCTTGAGAACAAACAGGCCAGCTTATCCAGAGGGGTAAATGCCTGGGAACAGAGCTCACTTGTTAATCCTAAAACTGTCAGCAAAGACCCACTGGAGAAATTATAGCTGGCCATGGGCACTCAAGCTGTTTTCCCTCTGCCTCCCCGCCTCCCCCCATCCCCACAACAGCTGTAAAATCTACTTTATTGTTCTGTTTGTGTCGGAGAGCAGCACAGAGAGGTCTCCTGGCCGAGGGCTGCAGCAGCAGGGGCAGGGGAACATCTGATCCATTGTATCTGCCCCAGCGTTATTGCTTCGGTGGCAGACAAAGAAAATGACAGCGATAAAAGAAAGAGCACAGCCCAAGCACCTACTAAAGAGGCATATGAACAGGAAATCCTGGCTCATTCCCACATCTGAGCTGCGTATAGTTTCTTTCCCTCCAGGATCATTATGTTTAATGTCCTCCTGCAATTCAGGCAGCTGAGCTGATGGAACCCCTTCCCTCCCCCTCCTCTCTCCCTTCTCTCATCAGATTTCCAGCTCTCCCTGTGGAAAAATGATTTGTGCACAGGCAGCCTACACAACGGTGCTTATAAGGAATTTGCCCCTGCCAGGAGTTATTAATGGCACCCCAGTAAATGCTCCCAGCAAAACGGGCTGCTGCAAGCATCAAGTGCGTGTTGAAAAATCAGGTTTAAATTGTCCCTCAGGGAATGACCTATTGGCCACCTAAAAAATGCAGGATTGGTTAGCTGTATAATTAAGTTCAGGCCATCTCTTGTGCTTACACATGCAGAAACCCAGATGTCAGCTTGGTACGAGTCGAAGTGTTGGGCTGCTTTTAAAGCACCAGGGGAAGACAGACCATGGGGGCATAACATTTGCCACGGGAAGAAAACCTACTTTGAAAAGTTGGAATATTTAACTGACTGAAACAGATAATTAACCAAACGCTATTACGCCTCCAAATATAGATTCATTAGTCATATGAAAATACCTCATTGGAACCAAATGTGAGTCATTAGTGAAGTCAACGGCAGATCATAGAAAAGGTACCGAGAGCCTCCTTCCTCCATCTCTGAGAAGTCGTGAGTGTGCAGGGAAAATAATTCACTCCATTTTCTATTGAACATCTGCTGGCAAATCTGTTTTAAAGGAAGGCTTTTAAGGGGCTGCTTGTGTGCTGTGCTTCCCGTTTTCCCACTTTGTGATTTGTGGGAGTAACGAGTGCAAAGTCTGTGCTGAGTTTTTTTTCTGTGTTTTTTTTGTTGCTGTTATCTTCTTGAAGAGACTTCTTTGAGTCACTCAGGATAAAATCCAGGTTCTGTAATACAGAAAGGATTCTGTAACATGGTGAAATAAAAATATCTTTGTAATTTGCTTCTAATTTCAGCAAAACGCTTTTGTTGGCTTGGAGTTTCGGAGTCCCCCACGCTCAGAGTGATGAGTGCTGTATGCAGTGATGAGTGCTGCTGCCATAGGGACCCCAAAACTAACTGGATTCCTCCAGAGGTGAAACAAGGATGGTTAAAATCACTGCCTAGCTTGAGCGAGGTGCAAACAAGCAATGGTATGTTTTACAAAGGAAAATGAATGGGCAGCTCTTCCACAATGAGGTATCTGCAGCATGATGGGCAGCCAGAGAAAGGGACCACGCTTGGTTAAACTCTTGTAAAACCCAAGTTACTGGGACAGCATGCTTGGTCCCAGGATGTAGCAGAGGCATTTCATGGGATGTAGCACGGGCATTTCATGGGGTGTACAGAACGCTGCAGACCACCATCCCACCCTGTGCTTGTTGAGCCCACAAACAAACATCTTGTATAACTCTATGGCCATGAGTAATCCTGTGCTGAAAGTTATGGCACAGAAGTCATCAACAGCAGCATTTTGTTCTTTTCATAGTTTGAAAAAAAAAACAAAACCAAACCAACACAGAACGACAGCAGCAAGTGTTAACTTTAAATGCCCCAAAACTGACATTCTGGAGGCTGAGGGAACTGCCTCAGTGCTTGGCTTTAACCATACAACCCCACAATACTGAGTTTCCCAGCTTCAGTAGCTCAGCTGCATTCCCTTGGATTTGCTGTTAATGTTTTTTATTCGTGAAATAAAGTCACCTCTATGTGATACCCCTTGTATTTAAAATCCTCTGTGTAGCCTGTGACAGTTAAGCAGCAAGGAGAGATGAGGTCTGAAACGGGTATATAATACCAAAATCCCAGTTGTACCCAGGGTTTCAGGCACCCTCGTGGGGCGCTGCTGTAGGGAGACACTGAGCCTGCTGTAAGATGGGCTTGGTCTGAGGGTGCAAATGTCCTGTGAGGAGCCAGGCCAGAGATGCAGGCAGGCCTATGGACATAGAACCCTGTGTCTTCAAAGGGGCTCACCTGACATCAGGATCCGGCTCCCATGGAGGCCGGGTGACTCCCAGGCCCAGCATGCGGTGGCGGGCTGGATGGCAGGACTTTCCCTGAGCCCAGGTTTTACCCCCCCCATCTCCACGGTAGGACGTGGCCTGAAACATGGCTGCTCGTGGCTCTCCTGGGGCAACGGGGTGAGCGTGGGACCCCACCTGCGCCCCAGACCAGACCTCGGGTCTCTCTGGGGGTGAGGAGAGCACCCAGTTCCCCCCATCATTGGATGACCCTGTGGGGAAGGACCGCAACCCTCTTGTGAGGTAGGATCTCCATCCCTCCCTGTACTAGGTGTTTCTGCCCCCACTTTCACACCCCCGTTTCCTCTTTGGGACATCCCCCAACCTCCTGCGCAGCAGCCCCCGACCCCCTCTGGGTCTGATCCCCTCTCCGCTTTGGGGTGGCCCCCCTCTCCCAACCGGGGCAGCCCCGACCCCTTCGGGGGAGGTGTGGTGGTGGGGGGCGGGAGCGGGGGCGGCTCTAGGACCCGGCGGCGCCGAGGCGCGCCCGGCCCCGCTCCGCTCCGCTCCCCTCCGCACCGCGCTGATCCGTGCCGTGCTGCGCCGCCCCGCTCGTCTCCGCTCCTTTGCGCGCCGTGCCGCGCCGCCGGGGGGCCGAGCCGCGTGTCCACCTGCCGGCCCCGCCGCCCGTCAGTCCCGCCATGGCGCTCGGCGGGGTCGGTCGCGGCGGCGCGGCGCGGGCCGCCTGGCCGCGGCTGCTGGTAACGGCGGCGGCGGCGGCGCTGGCGCTGGCGGGGCCGGCGCTGCCCGAGGTGCTGTTCCGCTGCCCGCCCTGCACGGCGGAGCGCCTGGCCGCCTGCCCCCCGGCCGCCCGCCCGCCCTGCCCCGAGCTGGTGCGGGAGCCGGGCTGCGGCTGCTGCCCGGTGTGCGCCCGCCTGGAGGCCGAGGCGTGCGGCGTCTACACTCCGCGCTGCGCCGCCGGCTTGCGCTGCTACCCCGACCCCGGCGCCGAGCTGCCCCTGCAAGCCCTGGTGCAGGGGCAGGGGACCTGCGCCCGTCGCCGCGACACGGCCGAGTACGGCGCCAGCGCCGAGCGCCCCGCAGGTGAGCAGCGCCCGGCTCCGCGCACCCCGCGGACCCCACCGCAGACCCTGGAGAGCCGCGCACCGAGGACGCGGCACCGGGCGCACTGAGTGCTAGGGACCGGAGACCTGATGCTGGGGATAGGGCACTGCGCGCTGCGCTCCGGGCGGGGGTACCGGAGACCGAGCACCGGGTGCAGTGCGTTGTGAACTGCGCACCTGGCTTGTGCGCTGGGTGCAACGCACCCGGGACCCAGTGCCGCGGGGCACCGGCACCTCTACGGAATCCTAAAGGGTGGTCTGAAGGGTGTACTCCCAGGGCAGAGGGACCCCTCGGGAGGGTAGGGAAGGGGGATCCCTGCGGGAGAGGGGAGAGTCAGGGGAGGGACCAAAGGGGCAGGGATGAAAAAGGCGATGGAGGGGCGAAAGAGCGTGAGTGCGTCCTTGGGGGAGAGGGGAAGATGTTCTTTGGGGGGGGGGGGGTACATCTACCCCTGGGGTTAGAGAGGTTGCCTGGCACGGGGCAGGAATCACAGGGGTGGGGTGTAACAGGAGAAATGTAGGGACTTCCCCGGGGCCGGGGGCAGGTTGGGGTCTTCTAGAGAAGAAAACCCTTGTGAGCAGATAAGGGTGAAGTTCGGGGAGATGCAGTTGAGGGGAGTGGGAGCCCTTAGCGAGCAGAGGGAGGTGGAGGTTCAGATTTGGGGTTGGAGGCGTAAAATCACTCCTGAGGGTGGTGGACCCCCAAACATACGGGGAGCAGCAGTGTGGGAGGACCATGTGCTGCTTGGTGGGAAGGGGGTGGTTGAGGCACTGCGGGGTTTTGCTCTGTGGGGAGCCCGTTCCCTGTGGGTGCCTTCCCAGCAGAGCCCACCTCGGAGCTGCGGTGTCCACTGCCAGAGCCCGTGAGGGGTCCCGGTCCCCTCTGTTCCCCCCGATCCAGGTACCGGGTGCCGGAAGAAGAGGAGCCTCCCCCGAGGGCATAGCCCCGAGGACGGGGACGTCAACAGGCTCCTGACCTGTTGCTGCAATGTGTGTGGGAGGGAGCGCTCTTGGGGATGCCGATACAGCAGAGCTTGGGTTTTATTAATGCTTCCTCTCCCTTGCGATCGGCCGCAAGCTCTTTCCCTTTCCGTGGAATGCTGAAAATTGCAGAATCAGGTCTGGGAGTAGAAACCAGCACTTTCTCCTTTGAAATCACCCCTCCTTGACTTCTGCCTCCTTGCTGGCTTTGCTCCCTGGCTAAGACTGGGGCTCTGACCCTTCTTTGCATAACTAGTTCAGCAGCACAACTTCGAATTCCCTCCCTTCTCTCGTGTTGAGGCTCTATTGAAAAGCACTCTGAATCGGGCTGTACCTCCTGGCTTCGCTCCCCAGGAGAATGGGAGCATAGCCAGGTACCTGCGCACGCTGCTGTGAGTACCTGTGCACCCTGGTCTGGGGACCTGTGCACCCTGCTCTGCTTGAAGGGGAGAGATGGAGAGAGGGGAGTGAAGAAAAACCACCAGCAGGGAAAACATCGCGCTTTGCAAGATGCTGCTTCCATGCACTCAGGCTGCGAATGCTGCAGTCCCTGCTCCTGTTCCCCCTCCTTTACCCGGCTGTGAAGGGCTGTGGAGAGTTGGGAGTCTGGAGAACAAGTTGATGTGAAATCTTGCTTGACTACAGAATATGAGTGTCAAGGGAGTGAATTTTACACTCTAGAAGAAGCCAAGGGCATGTAGATGTAAGGAATCTGGCACTGACTTCCAAACTTACGCTTTTACAAGAAGTTGGGGTGGGGGGAGAGAGCATTGCTGTGATGGGTTGAGAGGTGACTTTCTGAGTTAATGATGCTTTTTTTTTTGATTTTACGGACTTTATTTCAGAATTACATTACCTGACTGGATATTTTGCTTGATTTTATTGTCTTTATTCTGTTACAGTGGGTGTGATTTATTTAACCATATCTCTATGTGTAATACATGCACACATAAATAGCACAGTTTAAGAACACTTTAATGTATGCGGTGTTCTGTAATGTTCATAGGGGGCTAATAATAAAAATACTGGCACATCCTTAACCAGCATGATGTGAAACATGCAGCTGGAATATTCAGAGTTCAGCATGTCTTGGCAAAGAATCTTGGACATCCAGAAAAGGGTTTGCTCTCCAGATGACAAAACTTTTAACAGGTTGTTGTAGCCATTAGAAAAAAAAAAAAACCAACCCCAAAAACAAAACCCAAAACCAATACAACCAAACCCCCAACAAAAACAAAACCCAGTCTGCTAGCTTCACGTGATACTATTCTGTTCAGACTCGTGCTTCCATCTGCAGCATGCCTACAAAGCATATACTAGGGAGAGTTTGCTTTTTGTTTAAAGCAGTGACAGGGAAAGGACTCTGACATCCAGAAGAGCAGGGATTGGAATTTGCTTTCAAATGCTGATGTCGGGCCAGTTTCAAGAGTGCCCCAAGAGCAGGTTTTTGCCTGCAAAAGGCAGGTGTTGAGGCTCTTTTTTTTTCCCCCATTTTTTTTTAATGTGCTTAAAGGTATTTGCCTTATTTCCCCTTTCCAGCTTGAAAAGGCTCCTTTGGCTGGTTCAGGACTGGAATGCAGAGCCTTCACTATTCCTAAATTAAGAGGTTGGCAAGTTTTTTGTCCCTGATGAGAGGCAGAAGGATTGCCCAAACGAAACAAGGAATAAAACTCTGCAAATTCTCCTGCTGTGGCTCCAGCATTGTTTAGTCTTCCACTTAGTCTGTAAAGCCAATCCTGAAATGGTTGTAGGCGGGAAGTAACATAAACCACCGTGTAGCTAGGAAGCAGGGGATGTTGCTCATTGCACAAGAGGCTTTGGGTATTTTGAAGATGTTGGGAATGTTGGAACTAAACAGCAGCAGTCTGTGGAAATCAGGCTGAGAACTTGTACCCCTCTGGGGAGATGAGTACTTGAACTCCCACCAAGGGTGGGAGCAAGATGGAGGCTCAGCACCTCCAGGGATCAGGGCCTCTAAATTAGTTTTGATGCCACTGGACCACACTTTTTAACAGTTTATTTCAGGTCATCACTTAACAAACTTTACGTACCCTAATGGCTGACTGGAACTGCCTGAACTGGAGACAGAGGGTTGTTACTGTGTGTGCGAAGTTCGCAGAGTTCATGCCAGTCTCGAATGTGTTTATTCTTTCAGCACTTCAGAGAAATTGGCATGCTGTTTTGCAGATGGAGTAAATGATGTGCCTGAAGTCCACCAGGACACAGGAAGCAGAGTAAGGGCTGTCTGTACATCATATTAGCAGTCTGTTTCTTGACATATAATGTCCCAGTTGCTGATAGCCACTTTCTCCCCAAGCAGGGTCAGGGTGGCTCAGGTCTGAATGGGTTCTGGAGACACAACATGCTTTGGAAAGTGTTTCAGGTACCATTGGGGTCTCTCAGCCTCTCGAATCTCAGAGGGTGGGGATGCTGCCTTCTGCTTTAGCCATCATGAACTGGAATTGGGGGCTTGCATGGTCTTGTCCAGCTCTTGTCCTTTTTTCTTCCTTCTGATGTGTTTAGATGTCACCTTGTGTCAGAGTAGGCTGGTTCAGAGCTAATGCTGCAGAAAGCCAGCCTCAGGAAACAAGTGCGTGGTGTTCTGGCAGATCAATGCCCTGAACTGGCAAGGTGCAGCAGGGTGCCAGTACTGCTCCACGACAGGAGCTTGTGCTAGGAGATGGATCAGGGCAGACCTTCGCCATCTCAGCAGTGTCCAAAATTGTCTTGCCCAAGTTATGAGAATAGCTGAAAATCATCCGTTTCCTTCTAATGGAGACAAGGTCCTAGGAATAAAATTTGTTCCACAGAAAAAAGGGTTCTTGAGCCACTGTTCAAAACTGACCAGTTAAGGGAATTATCTTTTTCCCTTTGGCAGTGCAGTTCAGTTGGGTTTGTAGTATTGTTTTATTTTGTTGTCAAGATATTTGTATTAATTCCGAGGGATCTGCCTCAGAACCCACTGCTGGCTATTGAGTCCTGCTTTGGAATCTCAGTTCTTTATTAAAACAAATGTGGATTTTTTTTTTTAGTTCATGACAGTGCAAAGTAACCTTTCCAAATGGAAAGAGCTCTGCAAAGAATGCAGCCTCAGGCAAACTTGAACCTGCAGGGCTGGGGTTGCCTCATTCACCTGGTCAGGGCCTCCACGTTGAACTCCCATGATACAAAACCAGCGCCAAAATAGTTAACTGTTAAAAACGCAGCTTGTTTTAGCATCCAGCTAAAATCCTTATTTGGGTAGCCCCAAATGCCACACATCCTTCCTTATGGGTCAAATGTCAAAACCTCCATTTCCCCTTGGCAGGCAGCTGCTAAAAGACAGTTTAATGTATTGCTCCAAAACACAGAAGACTCCGAGGCTGGAGGTAGCATAATATAAGTGGAATTTTAACAGCAACTTGAAAACCTTGCCAGTAATGCTATGAGTGCATTTTTCATGTCCACTGAATTGCCAGGAAGACTTCTGCTTTTCTCTTGCTTTTATAAGGAAATGAAGCATCCATCACAATCTGCATGTATCTGTCCTTCTGCCCCCACAGCTTCTGACCCTGTTAGTCAGATTGGCCAGGTCTAACACAGCAATGAACATCCTGAAGGCACTTGCTCAGAAGTGGGCGAGAGGTAGAGGAGAGCCAGGCTGTGAGTGTCTCCCTCGTCCCGTGCTAGATGCCTTTTGAGGCAGAAGCAAGAGCAGGAGGGAGGTTAGTTCCAAGTGCTGCAACCAGGTGTTCAGGCTGGCTTAAGCAAGCTTGGACATTATTAGACACCAGAGAAGCCAACTGTAAGAACCAAATTCACAGGAGTGTGTTAATACCTATCTCCAGAGCCACTAGAGCAGCTCTGCCCAGGATAAAACAAAAGTCTGCAAAGCTGCTTGCCTTGGAAAAAATATTAAAAGTGAAATGCAGTTACTAATAGCTCTAAGGGTAATACATGAATGAAGAAAACCCACACAGCTCATCTGTCCTCACTGCTTGTGGGGCTTTGCTGGTAGGT